ATGACTGCATATCTGTAGAAAAAAAGGACTCACGAACATTCTGTCTGCCCACTAGATCTTGCAACGATCTACCTGAAGGAAAGTTTGGTTCAATGGAGAAGATTCACTTAGTGAATTCCACTAGTCTGGGGTATAGACAGATGAAAACAGGAGCAAATCCCTAGTGCTTTTAATCCTGTAGTAGGTTAGCTTCACCAAATCAGGAAATGTAAGACAATGATCAGGAGTGGGGGGTGGTGTGTCTCACAGCTGTTCTGTTAACTTCTCTATTATTTTATTGTAAAACATTACAGATGGAAAAAAATGTGGATAAATCCCTACAGAATCAAAGTAGCACTGGTTTGGGGTATATAAGGTAATACTTAACAACATGCTGTGATATATAGATTGTGAAGACATCTTTACCCATTCATCTATCAATAGACACTTGAGTTGCTTCCAAGTATATACATATTATTCAGCCGTACAAAAGAATGAAATCTTGTCATTTGCAACAATATGGATGAACCTAGAGAGTATTGTGCTAGGTGAAATAAGTCAGACAGAAAGATAAACACCACACAATTTCACTTAAATGTGGGATCTAAAAACAAAACAAAACAAATGAATAAACAAAACGGAAACAGATTCATAAATACAAAGAACAAAATCATGGTTTCTGGAGGGGAGGGAAGTGGGGGGTTGAATGCAATCGGTAAAGAGGATTAAGAGGTATAAATTTCCAGTAATAAAATAGTCATAGGGATGAAAAGTGCAGCATAGGGAATATAGTGAATAATATCATAATAACTTTGGAGTCAGCTGGTAACTACTCTTGTATACAATTGTCAAACTACTCTTGTACACCTGAAACCAATACAATATTGTATGTCAACTATATTTCAATAAAAAAAGTGTCAATAGCACCCGTGTGTCCCAGTTTCTGTGGGAGGGTAGGAACTAACTTTGTCTTGCTCCCAAACTATATTCTGTCATAAAGACACGAGTTTATTTTTCCTTTGGATAAAGTCAATTAGCTAACACAGGGTCACCCCAATTACCAGGTGAATTTAGGATGAACATTCAGTTCATCCTAATAAGGATGACATAAAGGTATGACAAATGGTGCATCAAATCCTCTTATTTGAGGACTAGTTATTACTTGGGAACATGTATGGGATAGGTTGTATCTGTTTGCTATATAAAGAGTATAAAGAGTTTTTCTGTCTGCAATCTCTTTAAGGGATTGCCTGTGATGTCCATCATATTCTGGTTTAATGTTTAATTTTGTTCAGTAATAAAACATTTTCTTTTCCTTCCACTTTTGTGGAGAAGTTTTTTGGGTTGTCAGGAGACCTGGGTTTTAATTCTATTTCCCAACAAGGTGAATAAGAATTGTCAAGCACTGTTGGAGGGAGGAAAATCTGAGACAGTCGTTCCGGAAAGTTATCAGATGGTATTTAGTAAACTGTGTTAGCCTTTTGCCTGGTAATTCTATTCTTGACATATGTCTTAGAGAAACTGTCTGTAAGAAAGTAATTATGAGGTTGTTCAATACCATATTGTTTACTGGAGTCAACCTAGGTGCCCAAGATAGGGGAACAAGAAAAAGATAAAACTTGGTAGATGTGTATTATGGAATATTGTACAGAATATATAAACAATGATCTACATGAACATACAGAAACAAAAATCATAAAGTAGTGCTGAATGGAAAAGAATACAAAAATTTATAGCACAGTGCCCTATATATAAATAAAAAATACAGACCCACAAAACAATACTGCCTGTTTTTCAACGAGAAATACACAACTCAAGGTTTATAAGAAACATTAGATTGTGGGTGATGTGGTTGAGATGGGGGTGGGTTTGGAGAAGAAATTGGAGATAAAATAAAGCAAGGACCTCATATGGACAAATGATGATAATGTGCTATAACCTGAGGGATGTAATCAACTTTCTGAGCCCAGGGTATAAATAAAAATGCAAAAGAAAGGAGGTAAAGAGGAAAGAATTCTCACACACAAAGAACTGCCCAGCTCTCTAGTGAATTAAGTAAGACTCCCATCCCTGGTTAAATTCACTGTCATTCAATTTGCTGCCTTACAGCTAAACATAACTGGGATAGTAAAATGAAGAGGTTATGTTGTCCGTGACAGAGTAACTCCATTACAATTCCATTCTGGCTGTCATTTAAGAAAACTTCGTCCATTAATTATATGCTAGCAAATCATGGACAAAGATTATTTAACTTTTTTAGTTAGACCCTTTCAAAATGCCATTCTGTTCATCTAATTAAAAATTTCACTTTAGAAAACTTCTTTTAATTGAATACTATTTATTCACTACCAGATATTAATGATGAGGCCCTCTGATGGTGACTTTATAAGGACTACATAATTAGCACTCCACTGCCAAAGTAAGACCTAAATTATGCTGCATTCACTTTTTTATGATATATCAAATTCAAACATGGGACAGGGAATTTTCACAGACAACCTAATAACATCATTAACAGAAAAGTATAATTTTGCAGAAGGATCAAATGTCAACAAGAATATAAAAATTATATTAAACTAGGATTTGAAATCTTTAGGTTTTGGTTCTCTGGAATTAAAGACAGTAAGAAGTCAAATTGTAATTAGATGGTTCTCCAGCAATAAGAATAGGGCTTTTGGGGAAATAAATTTAACAACCAATTCAAAAGTTTTAATTAACAATTAGTGTGCAACTCAAGATTTTCTTATTTAGGTTTGAGAAGTCACCTGTATTTTGATGAAAAGATTCTTCTTTAAATCAGGCAGTGACACAGTAAGGTTGCTATCAGTGGTAATATATCTTCATAACATTTTTTCAGATTCAAGATACTTTTACCCATAAGTAAACATTTAAATGTATATGTATCGGTCTTTATCTAGGAATATAAATAGAGAGATGAATGAAGTCTTAATTCACTAGAATGTTTATTTAACATGGTGGAGTTTTAGCAGTTTCATTTTCTACTGTTTCTTATACAGGCACATAAACCACATTGTAAACTTTAAAGTTGAGAAAAGGAGATTAACAAGATCATCACTGGTTTCATATTCTTCCTATGGCTTTTAACTGTACTCACCTTTTGCTCCAAATATTGTCTAGAATATGTTAACAACAGGCAATTCTTCCTTTAAGAATTACTCAGGACAAATCACTAATGATTACTAGCCTATAGCTACACAGGAACTCTGACTCAATTTCTGACTGGCCAAATCCTTGAGTCTTAAAATTACCTGTTTATATAATATAAAGAAAACTGTGTGTTAGCTCTCTCATCTTTCACTGGTCAGAAGATTAACAACAGATTTCTAACAATGTATTTTGATAATCTCTGTACTTCAACCAAAAGAGCTGCATTTCCCAAAATGAGAAGCTTGATGTATAAAATTCACCTCATTGATTTCCGATCCCAATTTCTAATCTAAAAGTTTAGATTCCTAAACTATCTTTATGTAGTCTTTACACCCTAAGATGACTTGCTCAGGCAGCTAATATTTCTCAACTAGGTTTTCAAATAAATCTAAACATACAGATCTGAATCAGATTGCCCTGGTATTTGTTTCAAATCTTTAAGCCACAAATATTTTAATTACTTTATTTTTAATTCAGCAATTAATGACAAATGGAAACAATCCTGTGAAATAAGAAATGTAGAAGGGAAATTATTTGTTCTATGTTTGTGTTTACAGTTAACAATATAGAAAAAATAACTGAATCACAAGTATGTTGAATTGTTGATAGTTATAAATGGAAGGAGACATTTTTTAAATCTGCACTTCTGTTTTTTTTGAGTAAGTTTAAAACTAGTCTATTGAATGAGGCGGCCATCTGGTGACGGAAAAGAGCACTACAGGCATTATTGTGCATGAACTGAACGTCATAGATATTCTACACAAACCAACGGAACCAACCACTAAAATTCAGCAGCGCTGTCCAACAGAAACATAATAGAAGTCGTATGTGTAATTTAAAAATTTCTAATCGCCTCTTTTAAAAAGTAAAATTTTAATAACGCATTTTTATTTAATCCGATATATCAAAAATAATACTAAGCCTTCAAAAATACAGTGTGTATTTTATAGTACAACTTAATTCGGACTAGTCACAGTTCAGGTGTTAAAGAGCCACGCGTGGCTGTGGCTAGTAGCTCCCATACTGGGACAGGGAGCCCTAGAAAAATGAAATGAGAGCTACAGTTCCTTTGATCTTCCTTTTCCTGAGTTCATTTCTCAGCCCTTCTGCCCACGCTTTTTAAAAAAAGTTCCTCCCTGTCCCTCTCTAAATTCTATTTTGTTTTGTAAAGATGTTTTGCCTCCTGAACGCTTTGGAATGCTTTTGAAAGGACCCTCAAGGGCCGGTCCGAGAATGGTAAGAAGACCCTTGGAGGGTCCATCTCTTCCCCAGAGGCACCAGGGGGTTCGTTTGCCTGCGCCGTCCTTCGATTCTGCTCGTTCCGCGCTCAGCCCCTGAGGCGAAGCTCAGCTACCTTCCTGGGTATCCGAGGCCACGCCAGGGCCGGGGGCGCGCGGAGGGTGGGGGGGAGGGGGGAGAATCGGAGCCTGTCCTGGCTGTCTGGTCTCCTTATGACATCACAGCGCCATGACTTTCAAGGTTCCAGTTCAGCAAGGCTCCGGGCTTCCAGGCCCCGAAGGTTAAAGGCTTTCAATGGGAGAGAGCCGAGACTGGAGGAAGCCACACGACTAGGTCCCTGCCATCATGCCCACAAGTCGCTGCCTCTGGGCCGGTCCTCCGACCCCGCGACGGCAGGCGGGAAGACGCGCGCGGGCACAAAGACACCCGCGGGCAATTAGCTCCCCACCATTTCCCAGCAGCACCAGCGGGGTCTTCCGGGTGGACCCCTACCTCTGCTGATTGGCTGGAGGTTGCCGCCACGTGATCCAGAAAAGGATTCCGCAGCTGCTTTCCCCACCCCGGTTGTACCCCTCCCCACTTCCAAGGTTGCCGGAGGCGGAGGGCAGGTTTCCTAGGCAACCGCAGCAGGTCTTGTATACACACCAGGCCCTGGATTAGTACAAGTGCTGCCGAAGCTACCACCACCGGGCCCTGGATTAGATGGAGTGTCGTGCCTGCTGTTGAAAGATAGGGACTAGGAAACCGGAGTGGACTCTGCTCTGTCTCGGATTGCCCTGGGATCCATCCTCGTTCTGGAATAAGGTGAGTGTGTCTCACCTTGTGGCCTTCGGGTGTCTTTGTTCTCTTTCCTCCCACTCTTAACGCCCCTGAGAGGAAGATGGGAGAGAAGCAACATTGTGGTTAAAGGACCCTATAATGGGGCAATGAGATGGTAATAATGAGACAGTGACTTGTCTTTACTGAAGGCCATCAGGGTGACCAGAGCAAAGTGAAGAAGAGGAGGAAAGGGAAGATGGCGCACAGTGACCTGTGCAGCCTTTCCTGCAATGTTAAGGTACAGAACTGAAAGAATCAAGTGCTTCTTGCCCAAATTTGATACTGCTCACCTAGAGCCAGAAAGCTGTTTGTTTGGCCCATCAGTGCTGACAGGTGGATTCTGATCTCTTTATACCCAAGGGAGGAGACAGTTTGACCATACAGGGCTTCTAGTTTGTAGAAAAGAAATTTGATTTTTCCGAATGACACCCAGACAGAAATATGGTGCTTTATACTCTAATCATTATTATATCTGGTCACGTACAGCAAGTCTTTACACATTATTATATTACATTCCGGGTTATGCCATACAGGACCCTGTAGCATGACAATTCAACCCATTTAACAAACTTTTATGGAACCCCATGCAAGTGCCAGGCACAGTGGCAGGTTCATTGGCCCTGCCTTCGGTGAACATGTAGGGAGGAAAGACCTGCAGGCATCACAACAGAGTAGGACCGGTGCTATATATAGAACATGTGCAGGCCTCAACAGGGAAGAGAATGGCTATAATACTAGCAGAGAGAATTAAAGTCTGCGTATAGAAGACCCCTGATTTAACATTTTCAGCATGTATGGAGCATGCCATAAGGTCAAGGGAAAAAACACATTTTAGGAAGGGAAGACTGCATATGCCAAAATGCAGGAATGCCCCCGCCCATTCAGAGAACTATAGTTGTGGCTAGACCCTGGAGTGTTGGGGGTTAGTGGTTGATGACCTTGACAGGTAAACAGGAGTCAGAGCGTGATACCATGAATACCTTCCAAGGAGAGTAGCCTAAACGTATTTACCTTTCAGGAGGCCGGCTGTCACAGTAGTGTAGTAGGTGGATCGAAGGGATGGATGTAGGACTGTAAGGAAAGCATCCAATTAAGGTGAAGTGATGAAAGCCTGAACCAACACAGAGGCAAATACAATGGAAAAAAGGGGAAAATGATAGACATTTAAGAGGTACATACAGAAGGATTTAATGAGCGAGTGAACATGGAAGAAAGAGTAAAAGAGTGGTTAAGGATAAATCCCAGGGCTCTAATACAGATGATTAGAAAGATGGTGCAATTTACCAAGAGAAGGCATACACTAGGATAAGAAGGCTGGCTGGAAAATAATGACTTCAGTTTTGAACGCACTGAATTTAAGATGCTTGTGACACACTCAGATGTAGCTTTCCATATTGGAAGTTGGATTTGCACAGGAAGGAAGTTGCACAGGAAAAAGTAAGATAAAAACTAGTAGTTTTCACTAAGAAGGAAGCAATTGATCAGAAAAGTAGATTTGAAATAACAAGTAGAGGAGCAAGTGGGTGGCTCAGTTGGTTAAGCATTCAACTTCCACTCAGGTCATGATCTCGTGGTTCATGAGTTGAAGCTCTGCTTGGGCTTCTCTCTCTCTCCCTGTCTCTCCCTGCCCTTTCCCTACTTACACACACACTCTCTCTCAAAATTAAAAAAAAAAAAAAAAAAAAAAAACAACTAGTAGAGAGAAGCCAAGGAGAAAATGTCAAACCAAAGAAGAAATCTTAAAGAAAGGAGTCATCAACATTGTCAAATGCTATGTCAAGGTCAAGTTAAGAGCTGAAACATGACAAGTGTCTTTGGGAATTAGAAGATTATTGTTGACCTTGGCAAAAGAAATGGTTGTGGCCTGAGTATCATCAGTCAGACTGTAGTGAGCTAAGAACTGAATGGTGGCAGTGAAGCGTTGCTAATGACTACTCTTAGAACTTTTTCAGCCAAAGTATTTAAACCCAGCTATTCACAGAATACAGAATAGGAGGACTTATTTTTTTAAAGACAGGAATGATCTAACATTCATGTATGGAGAGAAAAGAAATCCTAGAGAATAAAAGATGGGAATAAACAAGGAGGAGGAAAATTTGACAGAATAGTGTTCTGAAAAAGAAGAGAATGGGATCAGTACACACATTTTGGACAAGAGAAAGAATACTTTTACTAATAGAGGAGTCAGGAAGGGAAAGAAATACTGTGTTAAGAGGAAAGGAAATATAAGGAATGTAAATCTGATGTCATCACCGTTCTCTGTGAAGATGGAGACAAGATTATCCACAGAGGAGGGGAGGGAGGGAGAACCTGAGAAGAGTGGCAGAAGTTTAGAATAGTCTTTATGTCATGAATCCCCCATCTGTATCTCTAGCCCTATTCTCACTAGGAGAACAAGTCGAAGAGGAAAATATAAAATATCTGCTGTTGAAGATCCAGCTGAAGTAGAGGCCATGCATTTGTAGTGACTTCAGCTCCATGCTCATTATATGAAATCTTGCAGCAGCACTTTACGGTGGAGAGGAGAGGTGATTGGATCAATCCAAGATCTGAATGGTGAAAGCTATAGAAGCTACTGGTGGCTCCCGGTTCCCTGAAGGAACTAGAGAAGACCTGTGATCTCTTAGATAGGCCCTGAAAAGAACTTCCCTAGAGTGGAGGAGAGTGGGTACAAGCTGGCCGACAGGACACACCTCTTGAAATCAGAAGCTTCAGCTGGAAGCCTGGGGTCTACTTATGACTGGAGGAAGCATAGGAGGCTTATAAGTACCAGAGAGGTTCAGGCTCCTCATAATTTGGATGCAGTTATTCAAATTATAGAATTGGAAGCTTTGTAATTAAATTTTGTTTTGCTAATTAACTATAGGATTAGAACAGATTTTTTTTTTCTAAATGAGGGCATTGATGAAGGAAAATAAGATGAAGCAGAAGGTAAGGCTGATATCCAAAGTATGCATACTTTCTCTATCTACTACTAAATACTACTACTACTAAAAAGTAGTCTCCATGAATAAATAGAAGACTAATACTGTAAAGATGGAAGTTCTCTCTGAATTAAGCTTTACACTGGAATCTCAAAAACCCAAGTGGATTTTTAAACACTAAATACAAAATAAACAAAAATTTTATTTGGAAAAATACATATGAAATAATAGCCAAGAAATTTTAAAAAATAATACGGTGAAAATTAATATAAATCACAGTAATTAAAACAGGATAATACTATAGGAATAGACAGTGCTAAGGGAGAACACAGACTGGAGAATCCAAAATTAGGCTCAAATATATGTGATAATTTAGTAAATAGCAAAGGGAACATTTCTTTTGGAATAGATATCTTGGACATAGACTATATAACTGGAATTGCCATTTGGTGACTTTGGATGTACTGAGAACAGGCTTTTTCCTTGTGTGATGGTGGGAAGGCGGGCTTTCCTTTAGTGTTCAGACATTAAACCAGAATGTAGGGGTTTCTTTTCTGATGAGAAGGGGTGGTAAAGGCCCTCCTTTACTTAATATGGCATCTGAATAAGCCTAGGGAGGGAAGACTGTGGCCCACATCTATGGCTGGGCCTCTGGTAGACTGTCTAATCCTTTCAAAGTTGTTCCTTGTTAAGTTCTCTCTTGCCTGGCTGCTCCTGCTGCCTGTGCTGTAATATATTGGGGGTGCCCAAGAATGGGTTAAGGAGACAGTTGCTGATGGCAAGCAGAGAAGGAAAGATCAGTATCACCTTCAATAGAGATCCATCATCTAACTACTTCTCACTATCCCCACTACCGCCGCCCTACCCCAACCACCATCCTCTCTCACTCATATTATTACAAGTGTTTCTTAACTGGTCTCCTTGCTTCTACCATAGACACCTACAGTCTATTTTCAACAGAGTGGATAGGGTGATCCTTTTCAAAACTTAAGACAGCTCATGTTACCTCCCCACCCCCAAATCTTCATAGAGCTTTCCATCTTACTCATGATACTAAAATCTAAAATCTTCACAAAAGCCTACAAATCATAAGACAGCACATGATCTGTCCCTGCAAAACCTTTCTGATATCACATCCAGTAGTCTCTATTTCCCTGGCTGTACTCCAGCCGTATCATTTTCCTTGCTGTTCTGCAAACATGTGAAGTATCCTTTCATGGTATTTTTTCTACACGTGTTCTTTCCTCTGCCTGGATGCGTTTTCTCCAGATTTCCTCAGAGTTCACACTCCCTCATTTCCTTCACCTTTTGTCCATATGCTACCTTATTAGAGAAGTCTTTTCTTTCTTCCAACCCCTATCATTTTCTGACCAGTAGACATTAGTTCCTCAACACATATATTAATGAGTAAGTGATGAATTAGTAGAGATTCCAGGGTCTTAGAATAATTTTCTGGCTCTTATTTTTCTTTGTGGTGCTAGCTGGGGCCCCTCCCCTTCCAAACTCAACATGGTCAGACTGTGTCTCCAGTTTACAAAGCCTGAGTGCAAATACAGACTCTAATATAGATCTCAAAGTCCTTTGATTTGGTTCCTTTGGATGGCTTACAGCCACCATCCTCCCAATCACTGCCGCTCCGAGTTTGGGGAATTTTTAAGTATAGTTTTATAAAACTTCTTTCTTTGGTACACTGAATTTTGGGCTGGTTTATACTGATGGGCTTTTCTCTCAGTCTTATGCCATCTACTTCATTGTCATTCAAAAGACCTTTCGCTAATAAAATACTCAGGAATAAACTTAACCAAAGAGGTGAAAGACCTGTACCCTGAAAACTATGAAACACTGATGAAAGAAATTGAATTTGACACAAAGAAATGGAAAGATATTCCATGGTTATGGATTGAAAGAACAAATATTGTTAAGTTGCCTATACTATCCAAAACAATCTATACACTGAATGCAATCCTTATCAAAATACCAACAGCATTTTCCACAGAACCAGAACAAAAAAATTCTAAAATTTATATGAAACCACAAAAGACCCCAAATAGCCAAAGCAGTCTTGAAAAAGAAAAACAAAACTGGAAGTATCACAATTCAGGTGTCAAGTTATATTACAAAGCTGTAGTAATCAAAACAGTATGGTACTGGTACAAAAATAGACACATAGGTCAATGGAACAGAATAAAATCTCCAGGAAAAGCCCCAAAATTATATGGTCAATTAATCTTCAACAAAAGAGGCAACAATATGCAATGGGAAAAAGTCTCTTCAACAAATAGTGTTGGGGAAACAGGATAGCTACATGCGAAAGAATGAAATTGGACCACTTTCTTACACCATACACAAAAATAAACTCAAAATGGATTAAAGACCTAGATGTGAGACCTGAAACCATAAAAGTCCTAGAAGAGAGTACCAGCAGTAATTTCTCTTATACTGGTCATAGGAACATCTTTTAAATATGTCTTCTGAAACAAGGGAAACAAAAGCAAAAATAAATTATTGGGACTACATCAAAATAAGAAGCTTCTGCACAGCAAAGGAAACAATCAACAAAACTAAAAGAGAACCTTCTGAATGGGAGAATACACTTGCTAGTGACATATCTGATAAGGGGTTAGTATCCAAAATATTAACACACACACACACACACACACACACACACACAACCCAATTTTAAAAATGATCAGAAGACATGAACAGACGTTTCTCCAAAGAAGATATTCAAGATGGCCAAAAGGCACATGAAAAGATGCTCAATATCCCTTATCAGCAGGGAAATGCAAATCAAAACCACAGGGGCGCCTGGGTGGCTTAGTCGGTTAAGTGTCCGACTTTCGCTTAGGTCATGATCTCGCGGTTCGTGGGTTCGAGCCCCATGTCGGGCTCTGTGCTGACTGCCAGCTCAGAGCCTGGAGCCTATTTCAGAGTCTGTGACTCCCTCTCTCACTGACCCTCCCCTGCTCACGCTGTCTCTCTCTCTCTCTCTCCTGGAAATAAATAAAATATTAAAAAAATTATAAAAAAAAACCACAATGAGATATCACTTCACACCTATCAGAATGGCTAAAACCAGAAACTCAAGAAATAATAAATGTTGGCGAGGATGTGGAGAAAAAGGAATCCTCATGCAGTGCTGGTGGGAATGCAAACCAATGCAGCCACTGTGGAAAACAGTATGGAGGTTCTTCAAAAAATTAAACATAGAACTACACTCTGATACAGTAGCTGCACTATTGGATACTTACCCAAATAATAGGAAAACACTAATTTGAAGGGATATATGCACTCTTGTGTTTATTGCAACATTATTTACAATAGCTAAGCTGTGGAAGCAGCCCAAATGTTCACTGATAGATGAATGGATAAAGAAGAGGTGATAGACACACACACATATGCACACAGTGGAATATTATTCAGCCACAAAGAAGAACAGAATCTTGCCATTTGCAACAGCATGGATGAATATAGAGAGTATAAAATGCTAAGAGAAATAAGCTAGTCAGAGAAAGACAAATACCATATGATCTCACTTGTGTGGAATATAAGAAACAAAGGAACAAAGGAAAAGAGAGAGAAACCAAAAGACAGACTCCATTTTTTTAAGTTGATTTCTTTATTTTTAGAGAGATAGAGAGTGCGAGCATGCAGGAGAGGGGCAAAGAGAGAGGGAGGGAAAGAATCCCAAGCAGGCTCTTCACTGTCAGGACAGAGCCTGATGTGGGACTTGAATTCACAAACCATGAGATCATGACCGGAGCCAAAACCAAGAGTTGGACGCTTAACCAACTGAACCACCCAAGTGTCCCCCCAAAACAGATTCTTAACTAGAGAGGACAAATGGATGGTTACCAGATGGGAGGTGGTGGTGGGGGAATATGGGTGAAACAAGTGAAGAGGATTGAGAGTACACTTATCATGATGAACACTGTGTAATGTATAGAATGTTGAAGTACTACGTTGTACACGTGAAACTAATATATCACTGTATGTTAACAATATTGGAAGTTAAAACGACAGCAACAAAATACAAAATATTTCTGAATATCTCTGACAATCAATGGCCTTTTCCTAGCACTGTTACACATGCCTTTCTCATTTTCACACTTCCCTACCATGCCTGGCTAGCTCAGTTGGTAGAGCACATTTCCCTAGTCATTTTAGTGGGATTTAGGGAGGAAGGGTAGATAAATACATGGACTCAAGTTACCAACTCTTTTTTCTTAAAATTTTAATTTATGTGCTCTGTACATGTATATAATTATGACTGAATGAAAGTGGGCACATACTTTTTAAACATATATGTAAGTAAAATTTCATTCTAAGTATAACATATATATAGAAATCACACAAAATCTTAGATATCTACTTTTATTTTCTCAAAGTGAATGTAGTCCTTTAATCAGCACACAGATTGCAAAATACATCTTCGTCAGCACTCCAGAGCCCTTCTTTGCCTCCTCCTAGTCACCCACCCCTGAAAGGTAACTACTATCTGGGACTGCTTCTTAAACCAGATTGGTTTGCTTTAAAATTGTATATGAACAGAGCTACACAGTATGAACCTCACTGTGTGTGTATGTCTTTCTTTGCTCAATACTGTGCTTGTGGGAATCATCCGTGTTGTATACAAGAGTTTCTTTCTCATCCCGCCTCTAGGTATAAACTCAGACTAAATGTGCACTAATGTCTTGTGTCATAAAAATGTTCAGGAAAGCACTATTTAACTCCAAACTGGAGACAGTCCGAAAGTCTACTAACAGTAGAAAGAATAAATAAATGGTTTATATAGTCATACTATACAGTACTGAACATGCTTTTGAAAAGTTTTTTTTCTTTTCCAGTTTTGCCTAGATCCCCGTCCAACCTCTCATGCATGTTATATGCAAAGATAGACATACTAGGTTGTCAGTATTAGTTACCTTGCATGTAGCTTTCACCTGCATGTTAACAACTCATGTTAACCACTTAGTATGTATCTTTACATATTTTATTCTTACATAATCATACACACACATGCATATACATATACATACATATACACACATGCATAATTACGGGGCAATTAGTGTAAAAAGTGTGTTCATGATATACATCATATCTACATTTTTGCTTTGTCATGTCATCATATTAAAACCTAGACTCCTATATTTTAAAAACAATATGTCTGGATAATAAATATATTAAAAATTATTTTAAAATGAGTTAAATTTTATTGTAGCTATTAGATGTTAAAGCAGTTCATATCACCTAAAATGAAAGCACCAGCTAATTCATTTTAATAAATATTTATTCCCATGCCAGGTATGTCACTAAACCCTGAAGTTTCTTTTCTTTGCTAGTACACTTAGAGAACTATGTTCAGTTTGAGACACAACAATGTAATAGGAAGAATGAACTGGAGCCTGTTTGAAGGAGAGAAACAGGAATATCTCTAGTGAGAGAACTGAAAGACACGAGCTGGGGAGTGAGGTAAAGTTGTAGATGAGAGATGACAGTGTTCTTCAAGTATGGAAGAAAAATACTTGTTTTATTTGAACCCAGAAGATAGAATAACAGTGGAGTGGAGTTATGGAGAGACAGAATTCAATTCAAAATTAAAAAGAACTTTCTAACAGAAAACTTTAGAGATGGAATGGACTGTTTTGGGGCCCAGACAGATACTTCGTTAATTACACTGTGTGTAAATTTCAGGCCATCCGGGTGGTTCCACCCCAGTACCTTTAAGATCCCTTTCAACTTGGAATGACATGATTTTAGAATGTATTTATTTCAACTTTTCACTTTCCTTAACAGATATATTATTATGACCTTTATTTTTAATGGAAGATGATTGAATGTGAAAACCTAAACCAAGAAGAAATAATTAAGGAACTGGTGAGTCAAAGCCAAATTTCTTTTCAACTCCAGTTGCAAGAATGTATAATGAACATTTTTGTACTCGTTTCTGGCGCTTGCCTAGAGATTTCTTCTACCCAATGACCTTTGGAAGCAGAGAAAAACCACATACATGGTTTGACTTTCCTTCTTGTGAGTGCATTGGTGCAATTGGCAATTTATAAGTTCTAATGGCAAAAATAACTTTTTAACTTTTTAAAATAGGTAATAACCCAATTTCTTTTTTGACACAGTGTTTATGCAATGGTTTGTCTTATGAGATGGTTGGACAAGAAGGATCAGATACTTCAGAACTGGAGATGTTTTTCTCAGGGTATCCCCGTATAGTTGGATTATCATTATTTCCTAATCTAATGAGTCTCACAATTGTTGCTCAAGATATAAAAGAAATATCAGGGCTAGAAACTTGTTTACAGCTTAAAGAACTCTGGATTGCCGAATGCTGCATAGAGGTAAGTGTAAACACAACCTTATGTGAAGTATTTTATGTTGAATTCTTTGGCTTGGAAAAAAATTCCTTGAAATACATGCATGAGTCATGAATCAAAACAGATGAATGAGGAGGGACATACATGATAGATTACAATAAAACCCTTTAGCCAGTAAAACAAAACAAACTAAACAGATAAATGGGTAAAATGCAGAAATAGATTTCTACGAAGGAGAAAGTAGAAATAAAGAATCAAAACATAATAGACATATTCTACTTTTTTAGTGATCAGATCAGATCAAATAATACCCAGTATTGCTAAGTAGTAAATTCATTCACTTAGTCACTATTGGTTGTATGAAAATTGTAACATCTGTATTGAAAAGCAATACTGTGAAATGTACTGTGAGTCAAGGAAAGGTGCATATCTTTTGAATCAGAAATCCCTTGTTCTAAGGTCTTATCCCAGAGGAGTAATTCAACAGCAGAAAACAACTGTATGCATGAAGTTATTTGTTGTAGTACTATCTATAATATTTAAAAATGTGAATAAAATATTCCACACATATAGGTATTTTTAAGAAAATTATAAGCTTCATGATAGGCACCTGGGTGGCTCTGTCAACTGAAGGTCCAACTTTGGCTCAGGTCATGATCTCACAGCTTGTGAGTTCAAGTCCCACATCATGCTCTGTGCTGACACCTGAGAGCCTGGAGCCTGCTTCGGATTCTGTGTCTCCCTCTCTCTCTGACCCTCCCTGCTCGTACTGTCTCTTTCTCTCTCTCAAAATAAATAAATATTTAAAAATTTAAAAAAATTCATAAAATATTTTGTAATTAACTATTATTATGTGAATGATTATGAAAACATTTCAGATGGTCTTAAGTTTAAAAAACCCACAAAAATTATATGGGTAGTATGATTATAGTGTAAAAATAGGTATCGAGTTTATTAAAATTTTAAATATAAGAATTGAAAATAGTTGTATTTAGGTGGAAGGATTACATGTTCTTTCTTTTATTTATTTATATTTTTTATTTAAGAGAGAGAGAGTACGCACTCGAGCATGATAGAGAGGCTAAGGGAGAGAGGAACTTAAGCAGGCTCTATCCTCAGCATGAAGCCTCATCGATTTGGACCCTGGGATCATGACCTCGACCAAAATCAACTGAGCCACCAAAGCACCCCTGTTTCTTTCTTTTAAAAAGTTTAGTTGATTTTGTTGGATACATATTTTTCAATAAAATGTGATTTTTTAAAATGTTTTATTTATTTATGAGAGAGAGAAAGAGAGAGAGAGAGAGAGAGAGAGAGAGCGTGAGCAGGGGAGGGTCAGAAAGAGAGAGGGAGACCTAGAATCTGGAGCAGGCTCCAGGCTCTGAGCTAGCTGTCAGCACAGAGCCCAATGCGGGGCTTGAACCCACGAACCGAGAGATCATGACCTGAGCTGAAGTCGGACACTTAACCGACTGAGCCACCCAGGTGCCCCAAAATGTGATTTTTTAAAAGAAAATGTGCTTAGAATCTACTCTATTAAAACGATTAATTCCAAAACATAAGTTAACACTATTCAGTCTCCTTTTTTTTTTTTTTTACAGAAAATTGGAGGTCTTCAAGAATGTAGAAATTTAGAAAAATTGTATTTATATTTTAATAAAATTTCCAAGATAGAAAATTTAGAGAAATTATTGAGATTGGAGGTTCTTTGGCTGAACCACAATACAATTAAAAATATTGAGGTAAGATAATTTCAATAATTTATATGTAAAGTTAATTGCTCCTGTGGAGTTTTAACCACAATGTCCAAAATAATATTATGGTTAAAGGCCAAAATATTTGTGACTAGTTTAATTATTGTTAAAAAAGACTAACATGTACATAGCATTTTATAATGTGTAGAAACTTCATCATTTTCTTTGTTCCTCCCACCAAGCCTGGGAGGTAAGGTATTACTTCTTCTTTGAAGGTTAAAAAAAAATAAGAGACTTAGAGAATTTATACGTAACTTGCCAAGGATTATAAACACACTCTGTGTGATGTGTTTTTCTTCCTACTCATCTTCCTCCTTTCCTCTCCTCTCCCCTCCCCTTCCCTCCTCCAATAATTCTCTCCACATTACAGGGAAACAAAAATGGGTTCACTGAGACACCAACTTAGCTTCCGTGTTTGTGAAATACACAGCACCCAGTGCTCAGAACACTTGGAGAACTAACCAGGTTGATCAGGTCATTTACAAGTATATATTTTACTGACTTCTTCTAAATTTTTAGGGCTTGCAAACTTTGAAGAATTTAAATGACCTCAACCTTGCTGGGAATCTAATAAGCAACATTGGTATGTACTGTTTCATTTGAATATGAGATAATGCTACAATAATTTTTTATCAGTACAAAAAGCACATTCTTAGATTTCTTTTTTTTAGATTCTTTTGTATGATATTTTGCAAAGCATTTCTAAATCTGTGATTACAGGATGTGAAAATATTACCCATTAATCAGTTGTTACTAATTCTACAGTGCTACTGTTAGTCTTACTTACATGCAAGGAATGATGATCATATATAACTAAAAAATATTATAGGCTATGAGCCAGAGGTAAAATAAGAAATTTGATTTTTCTTTCATCTTGTTTTTTAAATTAAAGGTCGATGTCTTGATCCCAATGAACAACTGGAAAGATTAAACCTTTCTGGTAACCAAATATGTTCTTTCAAGGTATGTTTAAGTGGAATAGTCTACTTTTATTTAGCAACCTAGATCATGAACCATCTTATTGCAGAAAATATACTCAACAGTTCCCTTTTAAGGAACAATTTAATTATTTTGGACTACCCAATACTCTTGGAAATTTTAGAGGCAGCTGATTAAGTTAGCCCTACTCATCTGATACTATTAAAACCCAACAAGAAATGTATGTACTTGCTTTTGTTTTCCTCTGATATTTCTGGCTGCACCCCTTCAAGTTTACTGGTTTTTCATCTTTCCTAGCATCTAAAAAATGGACTCCATTAGGTTAGGCCCATGATCTTTTCTCATGCTGTCTGCATCCATTCTCTAAATAATCTCATCATATCTTACAACTTTAAATACCTTTTCTTCACTTATTTCTCCTAAATTTCTTTTTGTTTTTAAATTTTTTTTAATGTTTTATTTATTTTTAGGAGAGAGAGAGAGAGAGAGACAGCGTGAGCAGGGGAGGATCAGAGAGAGAGGGAGTCACAGGCTGAAACAGGCTCCAGGCTCTGAGCTGGCAGTCAGCACAGAGCCCGACGCGGGGCTCGAACCCACGAACTGCGAGATCATGACCTAAGCGAAAGTCGGACGCTTAACCGACTAAGCCACCCAAGCGCCCCATTTTTCTACTTTTTTTTTAACAGCCATTTCTATTTCTACTTTCCCTAATAACTCCCCAGAACTATAGACATCTCCTATCCTAACAAACGGATTTCCCATCCACTGTACCATCTCCTACAGCTTTCTCTACCTCTCTGAATGGCACCTCCATTTTCCTAATAACATGCCAAAATGCTTCAAGTCATTTTTTTACTCCTCTTATTTCTTTATAACCCATATCCATTCCATCAACAAATTCTATTGGCTCTACTCAGAATATGTCCAGTCTGACCATTTTTTACCACCTGTATCTCTACTAAACTGTTTTAAGACACCATCAGCTCTAACATGCAGTTGGGGTTGAGGGAAAAGCCTCCTAACAAGTCTCCTTGTATTTACCCTGTCACTACTTGCTCCTTCAAAAACTATGTCAGATCAAATGACTCTTCTGCTCAAAACTTACCCTTGGCTTCTCCCACGCTGTGTCTCTGACCATGCTGCTACCAGTTTCCCCTTTGTTTACTCCATTCCAGCTGCTCTGGTCTCCTCACTGGTCCTTGAATATATCTATCACCCTCACCTTAGGGCCTTTGCCCTTGCTGGGGTATTCTTCCCCCAAATACCTTCATGGTTCATCTCCTCATTTCTTTGAGGATTTTGTTAAGATGTTATGTTCTTAGTGATGCCTTTCCTGCCCAGTTTAGGTCAAATAACCCTACTACCCTCCCTAACCTGAAGGACTCTTATCACTCTCCTTGTGTTTTCTTCCTGGTGCGTATCCACATCTCTGACACGCCATGAGTGCAGGAACCTTGCCTGTTTTGTTCACTGCTGTATCCACATGCTTAAAGCAGTACTTGACATGTAAAATCTCAAAAAAACATTTGAATGAAAGGAAGGAAAACAAAAGACTTAATGTTTATGGGATACAATATGGGTGAAAACATGGCATTTGTAATTCTGACAGTGTCAAATTGAAAGTGCATATTCAAACAATTCCTCTAGAGAGTAACGAAGAGAGATGAGTAAATTTACTATAAAAATAATTTAGAATTGGTCATCATTAAAATACACATTCTTTTACTCAGAGAAGAATATAAGATGCCCAAAAGCTATAGAATGAGGCAGAGTGTTATAAGCACTTTACCCAGAAATTTTAAAAACATAAAAAGTTTAAACAAAATTTTATTGGTCAGAGTCAAGAGGAAATATTTGATATGAACACTGAGGGGTTGACAGAATTTCAGCAGGCATGAGGAGGACCTTCTACAAATGCAGTGGGAGGGACTCTTGATCTCGGGATCATGAGTTCGAGCCCCATGTTGGGCATAAGGATTACTAAAAATAAATACAAATTAAAAATACATGCAGTGGGAGGTAAGCACTCTAAAGTGGGGAGTACCTTATGCACAAAGACATGGAGGTAAGAAACCAGGGGGTATATTTGAATAACATCAGCAGAAGAGAGCCGAGGGAGCTACGAATGATAAACTCAGAATGCTATGGGAGGTCATTTTAAGCTAACTTGTGAGACATGAGGTGCCTAGAGAAAGAGCATTCCAGGCAAACTGTGAAGGACCTAAATGGTAGAAAGAGCATGGTAAATTCAAGAAACTAGAAGTCTGTTGCTGGGACAGAGTGAGGGAGAGAATCATGAGTTGAGGCTGAAGAAGATAAGCACACAGTGCTGCAAGAATAAGGTATTGTCCCACCATGAAACCATGTAGAAGTTTATCTTACTCTGGCTAGTGGGGAGCCTTGCAGTGGTAAAGAGCATAGCTGCATAGAAAGCTCTGTCACTTCTAGCAGTGCCACAAGCCAGAGGCAGCATTGTACTGTGGTAACATAAAATGTAAGCAAAATAATAATGTAAAGCTCTTAGAATAATGACTAGCACATAGTAAGCACTCAATAGATATGCTATTTTATTATTACTATCACTTCAGTTATGTTAACCTATTCTATTTCAATCTCCTCATCAAAAACTGAAGATAAAAATTTGGATTGTAAAAATTTATTATATGGCATAAAATTTAAATGGTTCTCTATAATAATGGCTATTTTTCAGAAAAACATTGAAACATGATTCACAGCAACGTTTACTATTCTCACATTAGGAATGTCCTTGAAACAACTATTATCTTGACTTTTTATCTCTAACCTTTACACCCACCCTAAAAGGATACTATCCTGGTGGTGATGGAATAACTTCTGTGCTACTTTCTGTCCATACCAGCTGCCACAACACTAACTTTCAGTGAGATTTTGTGCTTTTGTAGACTCCAATGTCATCTGACTTTTGAGTGTAGGTGGGGTCTAGGGGAAGTTCCTGTGTAAGACTTCAAAGTTCATATCCACCATGGCCCAGACTGATGGTCAAAGGCAACATAGCCACCCAGAGCAGTGAGTGTTTTCTTCTCAGAACAGTCTAATGATTTACCTTCCTTGCTCCTGCAGAATTTGACCAAATAATTCTTTGCATAACTTTGTCCAGAAATCTCCATTTCAGATCAATTCCACCTAGTCCCACTTCTGCCACGAGCCCAGTAAGAGCCTCAGGACCAACTATTTGAGCCAAGTTCTCACTTGGCCAAAGACTTTGGACACATTGGCCACCTTGACCCCATCTTACTCTTGACTCCTTCAGCCTGACTTCACTGCTTACTTCCTCATTCCATTTGTACTTTATTTTTAGGACTAATGCCTCCTGGTTTTTGCTTTGGATTTCCCTTAACTCTGATTCTGAATCTACTAACTAGCATTGCATCTGTTGAAGGACAGCCCCACCATAGTCCCCTCCTACACCAAGCCCCTGTCGTGAATTCTTCTTTAGTTTTTTTCAACGCTGTAAAAATACAATCACCTTTCCTACCTTGTAGATTGAGGGCCAAAGCCCATGTAGACTCTTAGGGGCTGCGTGGAAGAAGCAACGTTGTCTTAACAAATATGCTCAAGTGACTGACTCCAAGGTCCCAGGTAGAATACATGATTTAGTAAATACTTTTTGGTTTTTTATTTTTAAAATGCATAGTTTAGAGAGTCTGCTATTTAGTGATTGTTATCTATTCTTCATGTAGTTGACATGTTTTTTACTGGAGGAAAAAATATTTTATCCATCTAAATCACTTTAAAATGTTTAAGCACATATTAAAATGCATTACATTAAATTGTGGGTGATCTTATGTGTTCAAATGGCTCCTTTAGAAATGGACAGTTGTGGGATGCCTGGATGGCTCAGATGGTGGGCCATGAGACTGTTGATCTCAGGGTTATGAGTTCAAGCCCCACAATGGGTATAGGGATTACTTAAAAATAAAATGAATATAAAAAAAGAAATGGACAGTTGCAATTAATTAATTGAGCATTATCATTGCTGTTGTTTTAGGACCTCACTAACTTAACCAGGCTGCATCGCTTAAAGGATTTATGTCTGAATGATCCTCAATATAAAACCAATCCAGTTTGTCTGCTGTGTAATTATTCCACACACGTATTGTATCACTTGCCTAGCCTTCAAAGACTTGACACGTTTGATGTGTCAGCAAAACAGATCAAGGACCTGGCAGATGTAAGTGCATCCTTAATCAGATACCTGTGACTTAAGTTTAATTAACTGCTTCTTTCTGGCTGTGTCCACATATTGTAGGTAGTACTATCTTGTCAGTTCTTCTCACCAACTCTACTTTTGTCCCAGTGAGCTGGATATTTCATATAAATATATGTAAACAATAATATTAGTACTAGAATCTCAATGTTCATGACGGGACTAGAAGGCAAAGTGATAGAAAAACATTAGAATTTATCAAAACTAAAAGAAATAAACCTGAAAAATTATCATCAGTGTTAAGAAGAAGTGAACTAGTGCTATATATACAAAACTAAATAAGGCCAAAGTAAAGTAGAAATGAAACAAGTAACCTCCTCTCATTCTGGAATACTCATATCAAAATGATAAAATATCCATGGTTGATGATAGTATGCTGGAATTAGGTAGCTTTTAATGTAATTAAAGATGATTTGGGGTTCCCTATATCTACCCACACTGCCAGAATCTTGGAGATCTCTCAAATCTTGAAGAGAGTCATTCTTAGGCTGCCACTGAGGGTGAACCTCTCAGTAAAGGGAGTCATTTCACATGCCACCCAAGGATCTATAATTTCAGAATGGAGTACATAGGAATTCACCATATTTATTCATAGTCTTTCCAGATTATATTTCTTCTCTTTCCAGTCCAGTGAGCCACATTCGTTCATTCAGTCAACCATCCAATAGATAGATTTTGAGTATCTAGAGTGTGCCAAGCATGTGGATGCCCCCACATGAGGCTCACATGAGGCCCTCCTATCCCTTTCTTGTGGTTCATCTCTCATCTCAACATAGATAACGAATTCCTTTATCCATTTATCTTGTTTCTCTTCTCTTGCTAGCCTGAGGATTTATTCTCAGCTTCCATTCTCCCCTCTCTTTTTTTCCAAAACTGAGATTATCTTCTCTCCCATCCTAGTCTAAAAAGTGAACTGTCTTACAATATCAAGTAAAAGGCTAGAGTTCTTGTCTATTAGCAGTTGTTCAGAGTTATTGGAGATTCAAGGAAGAATGTCTCCTCGTCAAAACTTCACAGAGACAACCATATTTCTTAAGATTTCTTTTATCATCTGCAGAGTTCTGCATTAGTTTCTTCAAAGGTGAGCTGGGGTTCATACTTCATGAAATGACTTGGCTTATTAACTTAGCTAACAAATATTTAATACCTATTACATTCCAGGCACAGCTTAGGCCTTAGAGTTATGGAATGACCAAAACATACAAAAATCTCTGTTTTCTTGGAGCTCATATTCTTATGAGAGATGACCAATACTCAGTAACTAAATAAGAAAACAACTAGTATGTCAGATAGTGGTAAATGGTATGGAGGAAAAAAAACAAACAAGGGTGAAGGAAACAGAATTAGGGGCAGGGACAGAGGGAGGAGTGTTGGCTATTGTATATAGAATCGTTGGGGGAGCATTTTCTCAGACAACACTTGGGCAGAGACCGAAGGAGGTAAGGGAGCAAGCTTTTCAGGGATCAGCAAATGCAAAGAACTTGAGGCAGGAGCGTGCCTCTCATATTTGAAGAACAGGAGGTTAGTGTGGGTGGAGCTGAGTAAGTGAGAGGAAGAGAAGAGACGAAGACAGGAATTGGGGGGCGGGGAGATCAGATGAGACTGTAGGATGTTATAAAGACTTTGGCTTTTACTTTGAGTGAGGCGGAGGCCCTGGAAAATTTTGAGCAGAGGAGAAAAAATTACTTATGTTACTTATGTTTTAAAGGGATCCTTCTGGCTAATGGATTAAGAATAGAGGATTTGAGGGAAAAGATGAGCACAGAGAAACCAGTTAGATCCCAGTCACTTGAATGAGAGGTGTTGATGGCTTGATATAAGGTGAGAGTAGAAGAGGTGGTAAAAAGTAGACAGATTCTGTAGTAGTTAGAAGGTGGCACCCCTCTGGATTTGCTGATAGACTGGATGTGAAGTACAGAGGAAAGAAAGAGAATAATTCCAAGTTTTTTGGCCTGAGCAACTGAAGGGGGGAAGAAGTTGCTATTTGATGGGATGAGGAAGAATATGGAAGAAGACTGTTAAAAGGAAGAATCAGGGTTTAATTTTAGGCATATAAATTTTGAGCAATCTTTTGGACATATGCGAGGATATGTTCAATAAGTAATTGGGCATGAGTCTGCTATTTAAGTGAGTTGCCTGGGTTGGAGATATAAATATGAGAATTGAAGGCAGAAAGATGGTACATGGAGCCAGGGATTGGTGTAAATGAGGAAGTGTATCAGTTGGGTGTTGGAGTCTGGGGGGAGAGGAGGAACCTGCTGATGACATGGGAGAACTAAGAAAAGCAGATTCTCTTGACATTTTGCCCAAGACTGTCATACATTTGGTTTCATCTTGTATATGTCAGAAGTAGCATTAAAGAACAAAATAAAGAATTGTTACACAATTCCTGATATCTTCTCTTCAATTATGTCATTATATTTCAGTTTTCCCACTATAAAATATTTATCCTTTCTTCACCCTTTTAAGGCAAAATAGGATATATTATATAATAAAATAGCTCAACTTCTGATTTAGATTAAGATGATTTTTCATATTCCAAGTGTTTGTATGTAAGGATTGCATATAGATTTCCAGGAGGCTTTCTTCATCACCATTCATAGGAGGACAGGTTGTGCCAGGGTTGTGACACTTCTGCAGTGTGGTAAACTCTTGATTTTACCACATTCGATTCTTCACATTTTCACCCATGATTGTGGAGTAGTTTGTGCGAACTCTAAGAGGCAAGTGGTCCAGCAGGGAGTCAGCATGGGAAAGGGGGAAGAACCTGGGAGTTCAAATCAGAAGACTTGGATTCAAGCCCCAGTTGCATCCGTCACAACCTGCCACTCAGGCAAGGCCTTTCTCTTCCCAAACTTCAGCTTTCTCAGAACTATTAAAATAGTGCTGATAAAAATAGCACCTGTCCTAAATGTTATTGTAGGGAACCTGCGAGTTAACAGGCATAAGAGTACATTTGAATTGTTAAGTACTATAAAAATAACCACTATGAAACTGCAGTTGAGCCTATGACTTTTCATTCTTTTTTTGGTAATCAAAGAAACAAGTGGAACAAATTTTATCTTAACTTAGTACAAACATGCAACTGAATTTAGCATTGTAGTTAGACTATTTAAAAAACAACAACACTTTTTTGTAACTGTAACAGGCAAGAAATTCCACCAAGGTGGAATAGTGACAATGAGTTGACATTTTCAAAATCCAAACACAAAAAAGCAACTTGAATATAGTAAGCCTACAAAGTTGATTTGCTATTTACATACAGTTTACAACACAGTCTTCCCCATTTTTACAAAATCTTTATGTAATCTCTCAAACAAAAAAACCCTGATTGATAACTCTTATTTATTGTTATGACACGCTAAGTGATCATTGAAAAGTTCAGAAATAGTAAAATATCACAATTTATGTTCCCAAATGCAGATATAAGTATTTTCTTAATAAAATATAAAAACAAAGTAGAAGATGGGGCACCTGGGTGGCTCCATCAGCTGCTTAGCGTCTGACTTCAGTTCTAGTCATGACCTCACAGTCTGTGGATTTGAGTCTGTATTGAGCTCTCTGACAGAGCAGAGCCTGCCTGGGATTCTCTCTTTCTCCCTCTCTCTCTGCCCCTCCCCACCTCATGCCTTCTCTCTCTATTAAAATAAACAAAATATGAAAATAATAAAGTAGAAGAAACTGCGCAGGGATACACTAGAAACTGAAATCGGTAGTTATCTGTGGAAGGTGGGGCACCTGGGCAGATGGGAAGCAGGTGTGGGAAGTACTTTTCATTGTGTATTTTTCAATTATTTTGGTTTTGAAACATGAGTATATTACTTATTCAAAAATAAAATTAAAAACAAAATAAAAGCAGTATTTTTTTGTCTCCCTCCCCTAAGGGACTCCCAACTTAGATTTGAATTTTGGGTAAACAACACATAATGTTTTAATATATATTTATTAACCTTAGTTATAATTATTCACTTACACTCAAACATGATTTATTGTTTACCTGAAGTTCAAATTTAACTTGGAATCTTATTTTTTATTTAGCAGTCCTATCTTTACTCATATTCTCTTGTTTTAGATTTAAGAATTCAATAGAAAATTTTTTCACTGACTGAAGGCATTCTTTATTGGATTTTCCATTTTCTCCAAATAGGCACAAAACTAACACTATTTGCCATTTCCCGAATTACGGTTTTTCTTCTAACTTAGCTGCCTTTCCAAAATAAACTCTTCTTTATCAGGAATTTTTAATCTGTTACTCATTATCCTACAAGCGTGTTTTTTTCTGAACTGTCCTCTGTTACTAATGCCTTCTTTTTTGCAGAGGAATTTAGTGATTTCAATTTCAGAACTTCGTAATATGTTGGGAAAGGGAATCCTTTTGGCCTGTTCATCATGCCATATATCTGTGTCTGTTCTATATTTTATGCCAAATAATTCTGTTGGGATCTTGATTACCCACTTTCTAACAAATAAATCACATAACAAGAGCCTGCATTTATGAAAATACATGTCCAGACCAGTGTACAAGTCTTCCACATTATTTAAGGTACAGATTTACTAATAAAAAGAAATGCCTTCATTATTTCAGGTAAACAGTTAAAACTAGGTCACAATAGTGCAGCTGATTTGCTTATTTTCTCCTCAGATAGTTCTTTTAGACTAATATTACTTGTAAGCACCATTTAGCTGGTGTATTTCTTAAAAGTAGATTTAATCTATTATATATTTATTATAACTGTATGATCCACTGGTATTAAGATATTCTAGGTAATGGGATTAGATTGAAAATTTAGTCATTTGCTCAATCTAAAACAAGTTTATTTAGAACATCCTTTTAGAAAATTGGGGGGAAAGTCAAATTCTATTTCTTACCCATGCTTTTCAAAATGAATTGAATAATGTTACCTTTACTTTTAATGGTTTCAATGTATTTTTTCCCTAAGTTAGTCAAAAAGGAGCAACACAGGTGAGCTATTTGCTTTAGCAGTATGCTTCATTAGCTAAATGATAAGATTTTGTAAATTGAATTCTATCTGGAAGCACTTTATGTTGTCATCCTCCAAATAAATATGAATTTGCCTCAACTTAAAATATTATCCACAAAGAAAATCTTTGGAAATTTGTACTTTGCTTATGACGTTTCAATATAGCACTCTGTATAGCCATTATCATTTCAGCTGTCATCATTATGAGTAATTGAGCATGTAAAATTTTCCAGTGGTTATATAGAACACATCACACTCCCATAATGCTAGCAATAATTAATAATGTTTTTTGCTTCAGCTGATCTTTTGTTTTTTTTTCTCACTTTTAGACCACAGTAATGAAAAAAATAATGTATTACAATATGCGTATAAAAACTGTTCAGAGGCATCTTAACGAAGACCTTGAAAAATTGAATGAACGAAAATGCAAGTTACAGAAATTGCCAGAGGAAAGAATAAAATTATTTAGCTTTGTGAAAAAAAATGTAAGATTCAATATTGTAAAATTTTAGTGGCCATACCTTCAGAAAACTGGCAATAAGACAGCATTATCTTTTAAATTATATGTATGTAAAACACATATAGAAATAATGATTCTAAAAGTTATAGAAATCTATTAGAATCTATTAGAATTTATTTCAGGCTGTGCTTAAAATTAATTTTTTGGTCTAAAGTGCTAAAATACCCCTTTAATAATATTTTAAGGTATTAACACAAGGAGAGAACTTTAAAGCACGCTGTACTTTGGTAGTTACATTATGTGTGCTTTTTTCACTTAGAGTAAATGGGATTTCCTTTACTGAAAGTAGGCTCTGAAAAATTAAGGATTATTAACCTCAAAATGGAACTTTTTTTCATATAAGAACTTAATGTGTGTTTTTAAGGTAAGAAAATATAATTATTCTACAAATGGTGTTAGAAAAATAAACTATTTGGGAGTATGGGAATTGGATTCTTAATTTACACTTTACCAAAAACAAATGCCAGTGGGGAAAAACAGAATTAAATTTAAAAATGAAAAAACATGAAAACAACTGAAGAATATATAGATGAATATGTTTAACTGGTCTCAGCCTGCCAAATTAAAAAAAATACTAGAAATCACAAAAGAACAGAGTGTAGATTTGATTGCAAAAAATAAAAGTAAAATGCTTTGGTACTAAAAAGGATAATTAATAAAAGTAAACAGTTTTCAGCAAACATGATGGGGGCATCTGGCTGGTTCAGTTAGTAGAGTTTGTGACTCTTGATCTTGGGGTTGTGAGTTCGAGCCCCACACTGAATGTAGAGATTACTTAAAAATAAATCTTTAAAAAAAACCAGGATGGGCAAACGTGACACCCTTAGTATAAACATTCATAAATAAAACAAGGAGCAAATATTCAAATAGAAGAACTGAGCAAAGTAACTAAACTTCTGTTTTACAAAAGAAGAAATTTTAAAATGACTAATATTTGAAATAAGAGCTTAACTTTATTAATTTCCCAGTGTGAATTAAGATAACAAACAACCATTTTCATCTATACAATTGTCAGAGTATAACACATGATAGTACTCAGGCTGCTGAAGATGAGTGTGACACTACTATACCACCGATGAAATATAATTTAGGTCATATGTATTCACAGCCTAAAAATGCTTGTAGCTTTTGAGCCAGTAAACCTACTGGTAGCACTCTGTTCTAAGGATTTGGATAGATATTTACATACATAAGATGTTTATCACTACACTATTAATAAGAACATAAAATTGGAAGCTTACCTAATTGTTCAACCAGAGAGGAAGAATTATTCATTCTTACGGTAGAGTAGTATACTGCCATTAAAAACCAGGTCTTTTAGAAGATGTGATATATATACACAATGGAGTATTACTTGGTAATCAAAAAGAATGAAATCCACTTGTTGGGATGAGCCTTGGGTGTTATATGGAAACCAAAACTATGACAGAAAAAAAAAGAATGAAATCTTGCCATTTGCAACTACATGGATGGAACTAGAGGGTATTATGCTAAGCGAAATTAGAGAAAGACAAATATCATATGACTTCACTCATATGAGGACTTTAAGATACAAAACAGATGAACATAAGGGAAGGGAAGCAAAAATAATATAAAAGCAGGGAGGGGGACAAAACATACTGGAGGGGATGTGGGAGGGGGGATGGGCTAAATGGATAAGAGGCATTAAGGAATCTAGTCCTGAAATCATTGTTGCACTATATGGTAACTAACTTGGATGTAAATTAAAATTTTAAAATAACAAATCTTTTAAATATATTTAATACTCTTTCTAAAATAAACAGATTTTAATTAATAATGTAGTAGATATCCTTAAAGTGAAACATTAACAAAACTCATTTTTGGATAAAAAAATCAACCAGTATATGGAAATCATTTTATATCTGTTTTTATGTGCAAATGCATGTAGCAAGTAAAACCTGCAAATGTGAAAAATAATACCTGTAGATTAGATAAATGATAGACATTTTTATAAATATGCTTGATTTGTTTTTTAATAGCTGGATATAGCCATCATAGGGGTGAGGACAGATAATCAGTAAATTTCTATTTATAAAAATCTCTCCAATTCATCTTGAAATCCTACAAGGCTGGGATGAAGGCAAGGCCAGTGAGGCACTCACTGCAGACCCAAAATTTGACTGCTAAAAACCTCAGTAATCACAATAAATCACGTATAATGTAATATTTTAAAAAATACAGATGAATGCCAAAAAAGCCCATTATGGACAAGAGAAAACAAAATATCAAAATTTAAATAAAGACATTGCTATGCTGAACCATATATAGGAGATGGATGTAAAAGCAAAAGTACTCATCTCGATATACATGTTTCATATATTTTCTGTGGTTGTTTTTTTTCCAGAATACCAAAGTACTTAAAAGAAAATTGAAAGATTGAAAAGTAGGTGTGATAAAAGTCACATTAATTTGAAGTTTAAATATTTTATTTATACCAAAACCAGCATTTGTTATTATTTTACTTTGGCTTTAATAGAAGCCAGCTCATCACTAATATTTAAAAATCCATTTCTTTGCTCTTCCCATTTTTGATTAAAAGAACTGCCGTGTTTGAAGTATTTAAGAATGTCTCTTGGTCAAAAGAAATTGGCTGACTAAACTTGCACCAAAGTTGTAATCACACATTTGGCATCTTTTTATGCGTTTGGCCTATTTATTATCTAGATTTCTTTTTTGTTAATTTAAATTAACTATATATTTAATAATTCCACTAAAATGTTTCACTCTCTGGCACGCTGATTTCAACAGCTGGAACGGGAACTTGCCGAAAACAAGGCATCTGGCAAAGGGCACAGTGATAGATCCAATAACAATAAAATAGCTGAACTTGAAAACTCAAAGAAGTGCGAAACTGCCACAGAAGAGCCAAATCTTCAACAGAAGATACTGACCAAACTAAATGCCTTGAATGAAAGGGTAACATTCTGGAACAAAAAACTAGATGAGTACGTTTTATGAATTGTCTAGTTCAAATTTGAAACTTGAGGGGACAGAATGTTCTAGGCTATCAGTTGAGCTCAGTTCTCTTCCTCAGGGGTAGAAAGAATTATATTATGAAGTAAAACACGGAATTATGTTTCTAGTCCCATTCCCAGTAGAGATAGACGTTATTGGTTCAAAGCTGACATAGATAGCTTTTTACAGAGGCAATGCTTAATTAGGCACAGCAGACTTCCCCCTAGTGGCTTTCTTGTCACATCACTGCTCTAGTGTCGGCAAACTAAAAATATTAGAGCTGCTACTGATGGAGAAACTCACCACATAGATCTGACTGAGCAAAGCACATACACAGTTGGCTAGAAATTGTAGAAACAAACTCTGGCTGAGTTTCAACTAGAAATGTAAAGCAGAAGATTTAGTAAGTACCAAGAATTGTTTATTTACTAGGGCATTAAATGGATAAAGTTAGTTTGCCCTGTAAATACTACTACTACTATTACACCTCCTCCTTCTCCTCCTCCTAACACTTATTTCTTACTCTGTGCCAAATTCTTTGCTATGAGTTTTATATGTATTTTGCATGTAATCCTCAAAAAAAAAAAAAGCCTTTTCAGGTGTAGGTACTATTAATATTGCCATTTTACTGAAAACCTACAGCACAAGAAGATCTGAGAGCCATAAGTGGCAGAGCCAGGACAGCCTTCTAACCTTCACATATTCTGAAGTTAACATCATTTGAGGTGGTTTTTATTGCCAGAAAGAGAATGTCTTTTACTTGGTTTAACTGTTAACACCGACCTTTCCGTATCCATTGACAAAAGCCTTGTATTTTTCATATCAGCTTTAAAAAAAATCTATTTTAACTTTAATTTTAATGTTGTGATATTTAGGTTTCTCTAATAACTTTATTTTTTTCTTAAATAGGATTGAAGCTGTTTATCGTGTTGAAGTGAAACAAAAGAAGAAAAGCCATGGCTTATTGATCCCATTGTTGTTAACTGAGTTGGAAACTGTGGGAAATATCCACTTTGAAGAAGGCACTCGATCTGATGACTGGTATGTCTGTTTGAAAGTTAGTCACAGCCTTAAAAATAATTTTAGGTGCTTAGGATCGTCAGCTAAAATATCAACTTATAAAATCTTAAAATGTCTAATTTTCAAAACACGTCTCGTATAGAATGTTCACCCGCTGAAAAATGGCTGTTACCCTATTTTGCCACCAATACAATTTTCTGTTTACATAATTACTATGAGCTGACCTTGAGAACATCCTAATCATAGTTCACTGCTCTTTACCCAATTTCCCGTAGCCCAAGAGCCAGAATAATTTTTTTTTAATTTTAATTTTTAAAAATTTTTTTATTTCTGAGATATAGAGACAGTGTGATCAGGGGAGGGTCAGAGAGAGAGGGAGATACAGAATCCAAAGGAGGCTCCAGGCTCTGAGCCAGCTGTCAGCACAGAGCCCGACGCGGGGCTCGAACCCACTAACCGTGAGATCATGACCTGAGCCGGAGTCGGACACTCAACCGACTGAGCCACCCAGGCGGCCCCAGAATAATTTTTTTAAGTGTATGGCCAAGTATTAATTTTATATATGTTTATATTATTCATTTCTCAACTGGACTTGGCCCTGGATTCTGAATATTGTGTGAGAAGCTAGAATAGAGAAGGACTACAGGAGCAGGACTGGCAGCAGGAAATTTCCTGGGGGTCCATAGTCAAAGTCAAACCAGTTGTCTAGAGCTGGCTAGAGTCAGGGTGCACATGGACTCTGTGAGTTAAAATAAGGCATATACTTTAAAACCAGGAATTTGGGGGAAAAGTTCATTTAGACAGAAATGGAGAGAACCACCAGAAACAGGCAGGAAACAGGAAACATACACACTTCAAAATTGAAGCCTCCTGGTACAAACAAGGAAATGGTTGTGTTGCCTCAACCTGAGAGTATAACCAGAAAAAGGATTCTAAAGGGAGGAAGGATAGATGGAAGGAAGGAAGGACGGGAGGAGGAAAGAAGGAAAAGAAAGAAGGTTTGCAGCAGACAATACCACTGATTATAACTTTCACATTTCTGTAATCATTTCCTCAAAACTGGGGAGCCCATGAACAAGCCAAAGCTTGCCATAGAACCCTAGAAGCGTACTGCAAATTCGGGTGTGTGGAGAGGAAGCAGGAAGCACGTAAAGATACTGAATGGACTTGTTACATCATCCCAGAGGATTTTACTGGCAGTCAGTGTTGAAACAAACACTGACTTTTATGGAGTAAAATTCAGAGTTTGCATTAACTTTTTTATAAAGAAAAATATGTGATTGTTACCGATTATTTTAAGCCAATACCCCTGATTTATAGGATGTGGCTCTGTGAGTAAGAACTTCTTAAGGGCCTTGGGGGTACTTTGGTAGAAAAGTGTGAGAAGTTCTGCCCAAGTGAGAAATAGACCTTTTAAAATGTTTTCTTTTGTATCAGTACATCCATTGCCCAGCAATTACTACTATTCACTTAACCACAATACGTGATTTTTATGTACAGAGATAGAAAGGGGATTCATCCCACTTCCCATATAAACAAACAAAGGCCTTGATTTTTCAAGTACAAAAATTGAATTCATGCAGGATGCATGAATAATTTTTCAGTCTTTCATTTATATTTGCTCAACCTAAACAGATTTATTTATTATTATTTCTGTTTTTTTTTTAACTTATTGCAGAGTAGGCTCTTTACAAAACAAGTAGATTTTAGAGAAAAATACATAAAAGCAAGATGACTAAAAAGACATTAGGTAACTATGTCAACCTGGTAGTAAATTAGCTTGATGGGTTTTGATAAGAATTAACAATTAACAATTGTTTACTTGATTTTAATAGTAACAACCTTGATCCATTTTAAGAAGAAAATCAAATCTACGTTGACAGAATTTGAAGGATTGTTTTTTACAAACTTAGCCACCTAAGCTGTGATTTTTTTTTTTTTATGGATGTTAAGAAATAGCTCCTGCGGTACCTGGCTGGCTTAGTCAGTAGAGTGTGTGACTCATGTTCTTGAGGTCATGAGTTCAAGCCCCACATTGAGTGTAGTAGTGTCTGCATGTAATAGGTATTTGGTATTTGCTAATCAATCAGTAAGCATGACTAAATGATTTCCTCTGTGGTTCCTGCTCGCACACCTCCTCCAGAGAGCACTGCTTAAAACAAAATAAATGCCTTTTGTAGCAATCTGTTACCTTCAAAATGATATTCACACCCTTCACCCCAATATTCAATGGTCTTCACTGAATGGTCTTCTAACCATCCCACTTCTTTTCAAATGCCTCCAGAGGCAGCCAAACTGTGCCTCACTGCTCTTGGGACATACCTGGTGCACCACCACAAAAGTGGTTTCGTCTGTTCTGCTCCCTTCACACAGAATGCTTTGCACCCTTGCCCTCACTCTCTATCATTGTCTGTCAAAACTTACTTTATCTTCAAGGCCACCATCAAGAGCCATCTTTTGGGAGGGATATCTTTGTCATCTTTATTAGATGAGTCATTATTATTCTTTTTGTATCTTCACAGCACTGAGTTGTATCTCTACTCTGCTATAATTTTGCCTATCCTTACCCCATTACTTTTCTGCTCCATTTGTTTATAAACTCAGTGAAGTCTATATAGAGACTGCATTTGTATACATCTTTGAATCTTTTCTATTGTGTTCACTTGCTCAGCATCCATCCACTGAGTTTCTACTATGGGCCAGATTCTATTCTAGGTGCTAGGGGTAAAAGCTATAGTTTCTGCTCTCATCCAGGCTGCTGTCTGGTGTGAGAGACTATGGTAATGAAGAGGTACTAAATTCTGGGATAATTGTTGGTCTGGAGAAGAGTGACATTCAAACAAGAATGGAGATGTAGAGAAAGTTTTCTGGAAGTGGGGACATCTGAGGGAGATACTTTGATCTGAATTTTGAGGGACAGATAGAAATTAACTATACACAGAATTAGGGGAAGGACTTCCTAGGCAGAGGAAACAGCATGTAGTAAAAAGGTATGGAACTGGTAAAATACATTTGGAGAACTACCAGTATTTCCACATGACAAGGGCCTGATCATTAAAGTGCACTGCAAGCTGGTACTTTGAATTTTGCCCTTAGACATTTGGGACCCCTTGCAGGAGAGGTATAGGAGATTTAGATATTATTCTATGTAAGTTCCTACAGTTGTTATTTCAGGTTCAGAATAGAAGGCATATATCTCAGGCCAGTAATGAGACGCTCCTCAGTGCATGTGGCACGTTACCAACAATGCTGTGAGAAGGAACTGAGAATACGGAGAGTCACAGTACTTCCGGTCAGTGTAGGTTTGGTTCTCCCTCCTCCAGCAGCAGTATCCCAGCACTCTGTCAATGATGCCTTCTCACCGCCAGCTTGACCAGGTGACTGAATGAATGGCTTTATTTCACTAATCCTGGGTAGCACAGAGTCCATGTCCTATTAGCACAGGGGTTCTCAGTCTCCAGGGTTCTAGGAATTCTATGTGAGGAAGGCTCACCTACTGAATCTCCAGGCAGAGAAAAGCTCTATGAAAGGATTCCACTTCATGGAGTTTTCTGTGCCATTCCTCATTCTTGCATTCCTGGAAACTGAACTAGAAGCTAGGTATCGTCCATTTATCACTTCTGTCTACTCTTGCTTACTCTTCGTTACTATATGACAAAATCTTATCTAAATAAAATGCCTACAACACTTTCTATCAGAGTATAATAATAATAACAACAACAGTAAATAGAGTGCAAGTAGTAAGGAGAGCTTCAATGGTTCCAGGACATAGTAAATAGGAGTGACTTGGACTGATTAATCCCAAGGAAAGACCACCCACAAAGAAGCTCACTTCTGTAATATTAGCCTACACCCATGCTCAGACCTTGGTTGATATGATATACCACTGAGGACCAGACATCTCATTACAGGTAAATGTGTCTGATATAGGATCACTTAGCTTCCTTTTCAAATTGATCCATTTTATTTTTCATTATTATTATTTTTTTCTATGTTTATTTATTCTTGAGAGGAACAGCGGCAGAGCATGATCAGGGGAGTGGCAGAGAGAGGGGGAGACACAGAATCTGAAATAGGCTCCAGGCTCTGAGCCGTCAGCACTGAATCCAACACGGGGCTGGAATCCACAAACCATGAGATCATGACCTGAGCTGAAATAGGACGCTTAACCTACTGAGCCACCCAGGTGCCCTCAAATTGATCCATTTTAAAATCTCATCTTAGTACAAATTCTGTGCTACTGTAAGATAGGGCATGGCCCAGTAAGGGCAGTAGAGAGCAGATGAGCACTGCCAGTACATTTTCTTGAGATCTTCACAAAGCTGGCCCCCTTTTCTCCTTCATTTCTTCACTCAAATATCTTCTCTGAAAGATGTTACCCAAGACCTATACTAAGTAGCCCCCACTCCAGTGCTTACCCCAAACATCTTTTTCTTCAAAGCACTTGTCAGTTTAGAAATGATTTTATTTATGTATTGTTTATTTTTTGGCCAATTCCTTATAATATAAGCTCCATGAGAGCAGAGATTCTGCCTCTTTCACTTCTAGCTCCCTATAGTTATGAAGTTATTGGCAGTAGTCCAAATGAGAGAGAATGGTGATTTGGAAAAGAGTAATAACAGTGATGGTGATGACATAGGGTTATATTCAGCATATTTTAGATGTAGGGCCAAACAGATTTGCCGAAGAATTGGATATTGATGAGATGAAGAGGAGGGAAGTTTCATTCCTGGGATGTCAACTTAAGCTACCAGTTGGATTCTGGTACCATATACTGAGATGAAAAACACTCAGGCAGAGTAGGCTTAGACACAGTGATGAATTAAGTTTGAGAGACTTATTCCATATGCAAGTGAGCATACCAACTAAGCAGTTGGATGTTCAAGTAGGGGTATATCCACCTAAATTGGGTAGAGATAAAGTCTGGAAGTAAAATGTTGGGATATATCAGTATATATAAAATATATTTTTTCTATATATTACCAAGGGACTAGATGAAATCACTTAGGGATAGTATTCATGGAAACAAAAGGAGAGCCCAAGACTGATTCCTGGTGCAATCCAACATTTAGAAATCTGCCAGAGGAAAAAGAGTCAGTAAAGAAAACCATGAAGGAGCAGCCAATAAGAAGAAAGCCAAAAACATATAGTTTCACTGAAGCCAAAAAAGAAAATGTTTCAGAAATGGAGGAGTACTCAAGAAACTCACCTTTTAGTCGAAACACACATCTAATTAATAAAAACAACTCTTACTTTTATGTTTCAAAGTTTAACATCTCTTTTATTAAGGGTACCCAGTTTGAACCAAGGCAGAGCTATGATATGACAATGTATCTTTAAGCAAAAACATATAAAATATGGGCTATAACTTTTATCATATGTAACTTTGTGTTCTTGAACATTTTAAGGACAATGTGTTCTTTTCTTTGTACATATTCTGTGTTCCCATATAGGTTTAACTCCTGCTATGAACTAATTCTTTCACGTTTTTGTACCTGGGACTTCAGGCCATATGGTATTACTGGATTGAAAGTAAAACGTATTATCAAAGTTAACAACCGTATTCTGAGACTAAAATTTGAAGAGAAATTCCAGAAGTTTCTTCACAATGACGATATGCATGATTCAGAGTAAGAAGTTAAATTCCATAAGGAACATTTTTACAGAAGCCTGATTTTATTTTGCAAAAGAGTCATTCTGTTTTAAAAGTTTACTGGAGGGCCTGGGTGTCTTGGTCAGGCGTCCAACTTCGGCTGAGGTCATGATCTCACAGATTGTGGGTTTGAGCCCCGTGTGAGGCTTTGCACTAACAGCTTGGAGCCTGTTTGGGATTCTCTCTCTCCCTCTCTCTCTCTGCCCCTCCCCTGCTCACATGCTCTTTCTCTCTCTCAAAAATAAATGAACATTTTTTTTAAACTTTTTTTTTTTTAAATTTTTTATTTCTAGGAGAGAGAGAGAGAGACAGCATGAGCAGGGGAGGGTCAGAGAGAGAGGGAGTCACAGACTGAAACAGGCTCCAGGCTCTGAGCTGGCAGTCAGCACAGAGCCCGACGCGGGGCTCGAACCCATGAACCACGAGATCATGACCTAAGCGAAAGTCGGACGCTTAACCGACTAAGCCACCCAGGCGCCCCAAATGAACATTTTTTTTAAAAGTTTACAATATTGAAAATATAACTTGTTAGTAAATATTTCCTTTTCATGCATCTCCCTGATGGCATCATAGTTTACCCACACTGGAGCTTTTCTTCTTTTTTAAGTTTTTATTTATCCATTTCAAAAGAGACAGAGAAAGGGCAAACAGGTAAGGGGCAGAGAGGGAAAATCCTAAGCATGCTCCTCACTGTTGGCACAGAGCCGAGGCAAGGTCGAACCCACAAACCTTGAGATCATGACCTGAGCCAAAGTCAGATGCTCAACCAACTGAGCCACTCAGGCATCCCTGGGGCTCTTTTTGAGACTGAGGGGGATTGGAGTCTTAGTATGACACTAGAACATTCACTGTAAATGGAAAATCTAGGGCAGGATATATAATTGTCTTATCTATGGCTAAGCTCTTTTGAAATCAATTCTCAAACTTTTTTTTGTCTCAATTATTCTTAAGGAGCTATCGAAAGATGCTGGAATGCCTTTTTTATGTTTTTGATCCTGAAGTTACAGTGAAGAAAAAGCATCTGCTACAAATACTTGAAAAAGGATTCAAAGACAGTGAAACAAGCAAGGTAGCATAAAATGTCATTCAGAATAATGCTTTCTTCCTAATGAATAAAGCTCTGCCATTGGTTAGACAGGGCTTGATTCTCAATCCTTTTATCCATATTTATAGCAAACTTCTGCTATTTCACAGAAAGCTTGGTGCTAGAAAGTATAGCATCTTCCTTCTTTGGATTATACCAGAATAAGTCCATCAGTTACTTTATCTGCCAGACTAATATTTCTGGGTATCCTATTTTCATGCTGTGACCCTTTTGCTAATAATCTTGAAATCTGTTTATCTAATCTGTTTTAAACACTGAGGCCTTCTCCATCTTGAAAATAAATCCATTCACTGAACACTGCTATGCATTCTGGTTGTCATCCTGATTTTCTTTCTCTTTTAACTGCCACCACCTCTTTATTCTCTACTTCTCTTTGTCTACACCTTGCTCCCTGGTCACTCTGAGCTCCCACATATCCAGTCACCCTTTCTCTGGCTTCCAGTCTCTTGCTGAGGCAGCTGTAATGCCCTGTTATAGAGCAGTGCTTCCTCACCCCTTTCACATCATGGCACACACAAAAATGATAATATTGCTGCATTTAAATCCTGGCTTTCCTACTCAGCAGCTATGTGACTCCACCTCTCTTTGCCTGTTTCTTCCTCTCTGTAAAATGAAGGTGATAATATCTACTTCACAGAGTTGTGGTTAGGATTTAATGAGGTATGCATTAAAAAGTTCTTGGATACTGGCGCCTTCATGTTCATAAGACCATTACTCATAGTAGCCAAAAAGTCAAAACAATCCAAATGCCCATCAAGAGATGAATGGATAAACAAAATATGATATAGCCATACAATGGCATATTAGTCAGCCATAAAAAGGATTTAAATTCTGATACATTTTGATATGTGGTTCAACCTTGAAAGCATTATGCTAAGTGAAAGAAGCAAAATACAAATGGACAACTATTGTGTGATTCCACTTATATGTGGTACCTAGAATAGGCAAATTGGTAGAGACAGAAAGTAGAATAGAGGTTAGCAGGGGATGAGGAGGATGGAAGGATAGGGAGTCATTATTTAATGGCTTCTACGGGGATGCTGAAAATTTCTGGAAATGAATAGTGGTGATGATTGCGCAACACTGTGAATGTACTCCATGCCAATGAATTGTACACTTTAAAATGGTAGTTTTACTTCATATACTTTTTACCGTAATAAAAAAAACCCCACTAAAACAGCATTCCAGCCACTCAGTGGAGAATGGATTGACGAGAGTAGGAGCTGATGACGGGGGATTTCTAAGGGGGTGCTGTGGCAGCAGGCCAGAGGTATGGGCTTCAGCAGGCTGGTATGGCGAAGGTGCCCTCATGTGCTTTCTGGAAGAGAAGACAGAAGGGGGGGGCGGGGATAAAGGATTTTAAAAGGTAGAGTGGAGTTCAGGGTGATTCCAGAGAACTATGAACCATCATGAGCCGAAGGTTGGTAGACGGATGAGGCTCACATTTCTGTGTGTTTCCTGCTTGCCTGAAGCTGTGCTAGGGCCTTATCTCCTGCCTCTCCTTTAGGAGATGCGGTATCTCTAATCCTTCAATAGCCAGCTATCCAGTGTGGGAGCCACCACCCACATGTGACCGCTGAGCATTTGTGACAAGTCAGAATTGAGATGTGCTAAAAATTTTAAATAAATACCAGTTTTTAAACACTTGGTATAGAAAAGAGATTATAATTTCTTATACTGATTACATATTGAAATGATAATATATCAGATATATTAGATTAAATAGAATGTATTATCAAAATTTACCCAGAAAGTTGTTGGACCAATTCCTGGCACATAGAAAATTTTGGGGGGTTTTTTGTTTGTTTTGGTTTGTTTGTTTTTGGGTTTTTTTTTAAGTTTTTATTTAAATTCCAGCTGCCATACATATTAGTTTCAGGAGTACAAGAGAGTGATTCAACACTTCCCCCATGCTCCCCATGCTCCTCACAAGTGCACTGCTTAATCTCCATCACTGACTTTACCCAGCCCCCCACCCACCTCCCCTCTGGTAACCATCAGTATATTCTTTATAGTTAAGAGTCTGTTTCTTGGTTTGCCTCTCTTTTTCCCCCCTCTATGTTCATTTGTTTTGTTTCACAAATTCCATATTAGAGTGAAATCTTTTTTTTTATTTTTTAATTTTTTTTAATGTTTTTATTTATTTCTAGGAGAGAGAGAGAGAGAGCATGAGCAGGGGAGGGTCAGAGAGAGAGGGAGTCACAGACTGAAACAGGCTCCAGGCTCTGAGCTGGCAATCAGCACAGAGCCCGACGCGGGGCCCAAACCCACAAACCGCGAGATCATGACCTAAGCGAAAGTCGGACGCTTAACCGACTAAGCCACCCAGGCGCCCCTAGAGTGAAATCTTATGGCATTTGCCTTTCTCTGACTGACTTATTGCACACAGCTTAATACTTTCTAGCTCCTAGTACTCAGCCATAAAAAAGAACATAATTTTGCCATTTGCAGTGAGGTGGATGGAGCTAGAGAGTATTATGCTGAGTGCAATAAGTCAATCAGAAAGATAAATATCATGATTTCATAGAAAATTTTAAAATAAGATTTACCACTATTCTGTGAAGTATTTGATAATATTGACTGCTCTTTCCATTTTGAAACTCCCCTTTGGCATCCATGAAATTACACTAATGTTATTCTTCTATTTTTCTGACTGTCCTGTCTTTGTTTTCTTTTAATTCTTCCTCTTCCCTCTAAACATGAGAATACCACAAGATTAAGGTTTAATAATCTCTTTCTTCTCCACACACTATCAATTACTCTCATTGTTAAAATCTTAGGAATGGCGAAGTCTAATTGGCTAGAAAAATCATTGTGTAACATGTAGATCTAATAAACTATATTTTTATGCTATTATGTGCACACAGGAAATAAAGATAAATGTTTATGCACTGCATCGTTTAAGATGGGATAAGATTAAAAACATGAGCTGTGTAAGCAGTTGAGAAGACAGCTTTGGCTTAGGTTGGCAGTGACTTTGTAAGGCAGGGGCTGGCTGGCAGGAAGGGAAGATAGGATAGGATACTCTCTTTGATGCCCAAGGACTTGGTCAATAGACTTAAGGAATATCATTTATTCCACTTTGGTTTTCTCCAAAGTGTACGTCCTCAGCCAGCCCGCCTCCTGCTCTCTGCTCTGACACCCACAGCTGCCATCCCTACATAATTAATCTGTTTTATCTCCTTGTACAGTATGTCTAAAACCAGCCTTTAATCTTTTGCCCATAAACAACTCTCTCCCTGCTTTCTTCTCTTATTTCTACCAACAATGCTGTCATTCTCGTCACTGACCAGGTTCAAAGCTTTGAAATTCTGCCTGACCTCTCCCGTTTTCATCATCCCTCTATCTAATCATTTACCATTTGTAGTGACTCTTCCTTTACCATATCACTCTGCATTCTTCCTTTCCCTCCTTGTTTCTACTGCCTGCCACCACTTAGAACATTCCGTCTAATCTTTGCCAATGGTTTCCTAATAGGCAACTCTGCCCTTGGTCTTCCCTCTATTCTTTTCACCTTTAAAAAGATAGACAAATTAATCTTTCCTAAGACATTATTTTCATAGCACACACTGCATTGTTCTCATGATGAAAATCCTTCAGTAGCTTCCCATTACTCATGATAATGAAGTCCAAATCCCTCAAAATCTAGCTTCAACCAAACTCCCTATTACCAAATACAACAAATATTCCAAATGAAGTATATACTTTCTTTGTGATTCTCCTAAACATACCTCAGTGCCATGCCTCCTTTTGATGAAATGCTCTTTCCCTACTTTTTCCTTTTGGCAAACTTACCCTTCGAGTCTAGGCTCAAGGACTTCCTCCTTTGCAAAGCCTTTCCTGAGTTCTCAAATAGTAGGAGCCCTCTTACCTAGTTTACAAGTTTATCAGAAAATCCACTAAAATGGAGAACTAGGGTGCCCAGGTGGTTCAGTTGGAAGAGCAGCGACTCTTGATTTCGGGATTGTGAGTTTGAGCCCCGCATTGGGTGTAGAGTTCACTTAAATAAATAAAACTTTAAAAAAATGGAGAACTTTAAATAAATTATTTACTTAAGGAACACTTTATCAAACTTAATATGTATGCTGCTGAAGCGAGCACTCCTTTAGCAAACTTAAAACATATAAACTTACATTTCATTCATCTATCTTTTTACATGGGGCCAAAGCCTTTGAACGTGAGGTTGAAATTCCCAATGATCTTTCTTACATCAGGCCATAACCATATTACATATTAGTTTCAGTTTCTTTAAAGTTGAGCATGAACTTGAGTGCAAAAATCAATCTAGTTTTAGTTTGTATAATCCCCTCTGCCACCACCAAACTTTTGTATTTGCCTCGTCTATACAAGCTATAACAGCAGCTTTTAATGATTAGTCTCTACAGAATCTTACCAGCACTTTCCACTTAGTTTTCATAGAAAAAACTCATTCTTTCTCACGTTTCATTGTTTTACTTCATGTGTATAATTTCAATAACAAATAAGCTGGTACCAAAAAATTCAGTAATAAATTAACTGACTTTTTATAAGCATACAACACAGCTGGATGGAACAGAAGTACATCATTTTTTTTAATGTTTTTTTTTTTATTTTTTTTATTTCTAGGAGAGAGAGAGAGAAAGACAGCATGAGCAGGGGAGGGTCAGAGAGAGAGGGAGTCACAGACTGAAACAGGCTCCAGGCTCTGAGCTGGCAGTCAGCACAGAGCCCGGCGCGGGGCTCGAACCCACGAACCGCGAGATCATGACCTAAGCAAAAGTCGGACGCTTAACCGACTAAGCCACCCAGACGCCCCATCATCATTTTTAAAAATTTTTATTATTGAAGTATAGTTGACATACAGTGTTATAGTAGTTTCTGGTGTACAACATAGTGATTCAACAATTCTTTACATTACTTAGTGTTCACTAGAATAAGTACAATCACTATCTGTCACCATACAATGTTACTAACAGTATTATTGACTATATTCCCAATGCTAGAACATCAATATTTTTTTAAGTACCCTCTTATCCTTGAATTGTCACCATACTGTGGGGTTTAGAAAGGATGGAAGATACTACTTAATCCTGTGAGCCAGTTAGTGGAAGCTGGTTAAGTAGCAATCAGTGGCAGCTGAGAATGTTATTGTAACACATTTGTTATATTGAAATACAATGAGGAGGAGTTAAGATGGCAGAGAAGGGAGGACCCTGGCTTTTCTCATCCCTCAAACACAACTGTACTGAGGGTAGGTCTGGAACATCCAGGAAATCGATCTGTGGAGTAGCAGAAAGATCTCCACAGCAATCGTGGTGTGCAACTCTCTACAAGACTTTGAGGACAGGGACTTTCTTTAGAGGTTCTTAGTGGAAATCTGTTGAATGAATGATGGATAGTTGAATAGATGGATAGATAACAATCACACCTGTTTATATAAGTTCATATGCTTTCTCCTCTTCAAAAGACTTTCCTTTAACATTCCTGATTATTGGAATTATGTCTAATCTTCAAAGCCTAGCAATGATCCCTAACCTCTACAAAGATGGTTCTTAAAAACGTTCCATTTAAAAAAGATCTGATGGGGCGCCTGGGTGGCTTAGTGGTTAAGCGTCCGACTTTCGCTTAGGTCATGATCTCGCGGTTCGTGGTTCGAGCCCCGCGTTGGGCTCTGTGCTGACTGCCAGCTCGGAGCCTGGAGCCTATTTCGGAGTCTGTGTCTCCCTCTCTCTCTGACCCTCCCCTGCTCACGCTGTCTCTCTCTCTCTCTCCTAGAAATAAATAAAAATTAAAAAAAAAAAGATCTGATATGACACATCTTGTGACGGTTTGTATTTTTTAATGTTTATTTATTTATGCTGAGAGAGAGAAAAAGAGTACACAAGCACGAGCAGGGTAGGGGCAGAGGGCGAGGGAGAGAGCAAATCCCAAGCAGCTCCATGCTCAGCGTGGAGCCCGACACAGAAATGGCTCTCACGGGATCGTGTGAGATGATAACCTGAGCTAAAATCATGAGTTGGACACTTAACTGGTTGAGCCACCCAGGCACCATGTGATGGTATTTTTAATTACTGGGTATAGTTTCCATCTTCCCCCCTTTTTCTTTCTTTCTTTCTTTCTTTCTTTCTTTCTTTCTTTCTTTCTTTCTTTCTTTCTTTTCTTTCTTTCTTTCTTTTTTACATTTTCTGATTCTATTTTTTGTTATCTATTTACTTTTAAAATAATTTTTAACCATAAATTTACTCTTTAATCCCTGTTTGCTATTTCCCCATTCTCCCACCTACCTTCCTTCTGATAGCTATCAGTTTGTTCTCAGTTAACAGTCTGTTTCTTAATTTCTCTCTCTCTTTTTCCTTTGCTTGTTTATTTTGTTTCTTAAATTCCACATATGAGTGAAATCATATGATATTTGTCTTCCTCTGACTGATTTATTTCACTTAGCATTATACTCTCTAGATCCATCCGTGGCACACGTGGCAAGATTTTATTATCTTTTATTCCACTGTGCATATATACTTATACTTTGTCCATTCATCTATGGGGGCACCCTTGGACTGCTTCCATAGTTTAGCTATTGTAAATAATCCTGCATAAACTTGGGGGTTCAAGAATCATTTTGAATTAGTGTTTTTATTTTGTGTGTGCAAATATCCAGTAGTGTGATTACTGGACTGTAGGGTAGTTCTATTTTTAACACTCTGAGGAACCTCCATACGGTTTTCCACAGTGGCTGCCCCAGAGTGCGTTCCCACCAACAGTGCAAGAGGGTTCCTTTTTCTCCACATCCTTCCCAACACTTGTTTCTTGTATTGTTGATTTTAGCCTTTCTGACAAGTGTGAGTTGATCTCTCATTGTAGTTTTCATTTGCATTTCCCTGATAATGAATGATGTTGAGCATCAATTTATGAGTCTGTTGGCCATCTGTAGATCTTTTTTGGAGAAACGTCTGTTCATGCCTTCTGCCCATTTTTTAATTGGATTATTGCTTTTGGGTATTGAGTTTTATAAATACTATATATATTCTGGATACTAACTCTTTATTGGGTAAATCATTTGCAAATATCTTCTCTCATTTAGTAGTTGATTGTTCCCTTTACTGTGCAGAAACTTGTTCTTTTGATGTAGTCCCAACAGTTTATTTTTGTTTCTATTTCCCTTGCCTAGGAGACATACCTAGAAAAATGTTGCTATAGGCAATGTCAGAGAGATTACTGCCTGTGCTGTCTTCACTATCTTCCCTCTTTTACTTGAGGGCCAAGACTATGCTATAGCTGCACAATGTCATGAACATAGCTTGTATCTAACGAATAGTTAGTGATGTTCATTGGAAATCTGAGAAGGTTATATTTACTGGGATGTGGAATTTATAGTAACATGAGCAACTTTTTAGTATTTATTTTTTAAAAATCTCTTTGGTGGGGGGTGGGTCAGGGGGGATCAGGTCATGATCTCGCAGTCGTGAGTTCAAGCCTTGCCTTGGGCTCTGTCCTAACAGCTGAGCTTGTCCCCCACCCTCTCTCCCTCTCAGAAATAAATAAACATTAAAAAAATTAAAAACCTCTTTGGTAACAGCTTTTAATAAGAAAAAATAAATAAGCAATTCAGCATTTATAGAAAACATATGGAGAAGCAGACCTGAGTTCAAAGTAAGACTTTGCTAACTTCTACTTCTGTCCTTGGAGAGATTATATAATCTCTCTTGGCTCTAGGTTTTCTACTACTAAAAGTAGGGATTTTGTTTGTTTTTCAGAGCTTTCATAGCAAGTAATATGAATTTTACTGTATTTCTATTTTATTTATTTATTTATTTTTTTAGTTTTAGAGTTTTTGAGAGAGAGTGAAAGCATGAGCAGGGAGGGGCAGAGAGAGAGGTGAGAGCAAGATTCCCAAGCAGGCTCTGCACCGTCAGCACAGAGCCTGATCCAGTGCTCAAACTCAGGAACTGTGAGATCACAACCTGAGCTGAAGTCGGACGCTTAACCAACTTAGCCACCCAGGGCACCCCTGTATTACTGTATTTCTGCTAAAACATTTTCAAGAAATAAATCTAGTCCCAATGCAAACTAAGATTTCTATGCATTAGCACAATGAGATGTATCTGGAAAGATGTGCAGATTATTAAACCAAGAACACTATTTATACCAAATCTTTATCTGTATATCTGTATTTATCTACATATCACATATAAGTAAGAACCTTCACTGATATAATCCCACAGGAGTTTCTTTTTTGGAATTTATCTGATTACTAGTGGAGTATCATTGAAAATGTGTAAAATTATAGCTCCTGTGCCACACAGTGTTGTCAGTCTTGACTCTAGCTGCTTTTACAGGAACAAATATTCTATATCACTTTTCATAAACCTATTTGCATATAAATTTAAAGCATATTATATAAATGGCCTTACAGAATGAAGTTGCACCTGAAGTTTATCTACTACTTTTCAGTGAATCTAGCCTTTTTTTTTTTTTTTGCCCAGACACATAAACATAAACTAATAAACCATCTGTATTGAAGCTGAAGTATTGTCAGTTTTATAAAAATACTCAGACTTTGTTTTTTCTTTGCAGTCGCCTCTCAGAAAAGAAGCTGTTATTCTTGCTAACAGCCTAACTATGTGTGAGTGTCCCAGAATTGAATTTCTACAGCAAATGTTCAAAGATGAGAACTCTCCCGAGCATGAGCTCTTCAGGCATGGTAATACAAATATACAGTATTTCTGAACTTTTTAGTTCTAAGTCTTTGTTAATTACTTTCATAATATTTTTAATACGTGGCTTTATCAATCAGGAAGGTTTTCCAGAAACTAAGTATTTACCAGTGTAGTGGTATATGACTTTCTGATCTGTAACTTCGCAACTTGTGAACAAATACTTAGTGATTATTGTGTCAACATCAATAGGATGGGACTCGTTTGTTACTCATATATATTTTTAAAACTTTTTAATGTTTTATTTATTTTTGGGGGGAGAGGGCAAGATGGCGGAGAAGTAAGGAGCTCCATACTTGCACTCGCGCCCATACATCACACAGAAAAGATCTGAAGACATTGGAAACCTTACAAAACCTGAGAGATTGGGAGAAAAAAGATGCAGAATCCACTGAGAGAGCCTTCTAACGTGAGTGCGAACCGGGGAAGATAAAATCGGGCCGGGATCGGAGACTCCAGGGTGGGAGGCGATCCCCCTCTACCCTCTACGGGGAGTGAGAGGGGAAAAGGAGAGAGTCCGAAACAGAAAAACCTCCGCACGGGGGAGAAAAACCTCCGTTGGAAAGACCGTACTTGCCAAATACCTGCACACCAGGTCCCCTCGCGCCA